TAAATATATAAAAATATTTTATTTCAATTATTGTTTTAATTAGTAAATTTTAAATATTTTATTTTTCTTTAAATTATTTAATTAAATAAAAATATTTTTCGTTTCTCTCCTTTACTTTTATCTATCTAAACAAGATTAATATAGATTCTTTTCTTCTTTTTACGTCTCCTCCCCTTCCCTATCCTTCCTCTCCATTCTCTTTTATTTACTAATTTGTATAAAAACAAACCCTTAAGAGATTAATTACATCATCATTTTTTTATCTCAACATGAATGACCTACCTAAACTCACATTAAATTGAAGGTGGTTAGGGTTGGCACCACTAACTCGAAGCTAACCATAGTTTAGACAATAAAAATTGCTAAGGTTGCATTACATGAAAACCAAGTGGAAATAAAATGCCAGAAACTTAACCAAGGTAAGTGTTAGAAATAGAAAAGGAGAAGAAATATTTGAAAAAATATTTATTACTTTCTTGAATAATATTATATGTACAATGATCTATATATACGAGTATTTATAAAGAGAATATTCTAAAATACAAAATATATAAAAAGAATATTTTAAAATATAAAACATTTACAATAAATATGAATATAATCTGAATTATTGTATTTACATCTTAACAGTAAGCAATTTCTCCAACCAACCATACACATTGGTTGGATACTTGAATTTACCAAGCATTTTGGCCCTTTTTCCTCAATTTCATTCCCGATCCTATATATCCCTTTGCCTTCCACAACAGAGCACGCAAATATCTCAACCAGACAAGTCACCAGCGAGTCCAACGGCCGGAGAAAGGCTCCCCCATTACGACATGGAGCTCCACACGTCCCCCATGACAACCAAACCTCCTGTCACCCCCTCACTGGCAGAGCTACCGATTCGTGTCAACAACGCCACTCGTGATGATTCTCCTACCGGTGATCGTAATTGTCAGATTCTTGAGATTAAGGGCGCCAGTAGCTATGTTCCAACGAATTTTCCGTTTGTTCTTGCGTTTAATGATTTGAATTACTGTGTTAAAGTTCGCCGGTTGTTTGAAATTCCATGTGGTGGTAATGGTGATGATCTTATTAGTGATATTAACACAAGGATCTTGTTGAATGATATTTCGGGTGAAGCGAGAGAAGGTGAAATCATGGCAGTTTTGGGGCGGAGTGGGTCGGGTAAATCAACGTTGATTGATGCTCTGGCGAACCGGATTTCGAAGGAGAGCTTAAAGGGGACTCTGACTCTGAACGGTGAGGTTCTGGAATCACGACTTTTGAAGGCGATTTCCGCTTATGTAATGCAGGATGATCTTCTGTTTCCAATGCTGACTGTGGAGGAGACGCTGATGTACTCGGCGGAGTTCCGGCTCCCACGTTCACTCTCCAAGAGGAAGAAGAAAGCCAGAGTCCAAGCTCTCATCGATCAATTGGGATTGCGGAGTGCGGCAAAGACTGTGATCGGAGATGAAGGGCACAGAGGCGTCTCGGGAGGCGAGCGGCGCAGGGTTTCCATCGGAATTGATATAGTTCATGACCCAATTCTTCTGTTTCTTGATGAACCCACCTCCGGCCTGGACTCAACAAGCGCGTTCATGGTCGTTAAGGTGTTGCAGAGAATCGCCCAGAGTGGGAGCATTGTGATCATGTCGATCCACCAACCCAGTTACAGAATCTTGAGCTTACTTGACAACCTGATTTTCCTTTCTCACGGACAGACTGTCTACAGCGGCTCTCCGGCCAACCTCCCCCTTTTCTTCACCGAATTCGGGCATCCTATTCCGGAGAATGAGAATCGGACTGAGTTCGCCCTAGATTTCATTCGTGAGCTGGAAGAAACGCCCGCTGGAACCAAAAGCATGGTGGAATTTAACAAATCATGGCAGAGTAGAATTAATCCAAGAAAAACTACCTCCGAAGAAACCAATATTTCACTCAAAGCGGCAATCCGTGCAAGCGTTTCCCGAGGAAAATTGGTGTCTGGAGCCGCCACCGATGATTCCAACTTGACTTCTTCAGTTCCGACTTTTGCAAATCCGTTCTGGATTGAAATGATTGTTATTGCCAAAAGATCGTTCAGGAACTCAAGCAGAATGCCTGAATTGTTCGGAATCCGATTTGGTGCCGTTGTGGTCACTGGAATCATCCTGGCGACAATATTCTGGCAGCTGGACAATTCCCCCAAAGGGATTCATGAACGAATTGGATTCTTCGCCTTCGCCATGTCCACCACCTTCTACACCTGCGCCGAAGCCCTCCCCGTTTTCCTCCAAGAACGGTACATCTTCATGCGAGAAACAGCATACAATGCCTACCGCCGATCATCCTACGTACTCGCCAACTCCATTATTTCCATCCCTTCCTTAGTCGCCCTCTCCATCTCATTTGCCGTCATAACTTTCTGGTCGGTAGGTCTCGCAGGCGGCTTCACCGGATTCCTCTTCTACTTCTTAACCATCCTGGCCTCCTTCTGGGCGGGAAGCTCCTTCGTCACATTCCTCTCTGGCATCGTCTCCAACGTCATGGTAGGATTCGTCGTCGTCGTCGCCATTCTCGCCTACTTCCTGCTCTTCAGCGGTTTCTTCATCACCCGGAGCCGGATTCCCCCCTACTGGATATGGTTCCATTACATCTCCCTGGTGAAGTACCCATACGAAGCCGTTTTACAAAACGAATTCAGCGACCTCTCGAAATGCTTCGTGAAAGGTGTCCAGATGTTCGACAACACGCCGCTCGCAGGCTTGCCGATGGCGCTGAAGCTTAAGGTGTTGCAGAGCATGGGGAGTGCCCTGGGCGTGAATATTACGAGCTCCACCTGCGTGACAACCGGAGCGGATATTCTTATGGAACAGGGGGTTACGGATATAAGCAAATGGAATTGCGTGTGGATTACGGTGGCCTGGGGATTCTTCTTTAGGATTCTGTTTTACTTTGCCCTGTTGTTTGGAAGCAAGAACAAGAGAAGGTAAAAAAAAAATGATAATATAAATTGAGAATAGTATTTACTTGTCTTATTTTTTAAAATTATGAGAAAAATTATTTTATAATTATATTGTTTTAATAAAATCTAATTACCAACACTTAAATAATTCAATGGTTATTTCTTTTCATTGAAAATAAGAAATTCTGAATTTAAATTGTATGGTATATAGATGGAATGGGAGAAGGTTGCCTCCCATTGTGCAACCAAAATCAAAAAATAAAAAAT